GAATAGGAGAAAGAAAGAGCAGAGTACTTGTAAAAAGGAGAAAGAAGGAGCAGAGTACTTGTAGAAGAGGAGAAAGAAGGAGCAAAGTACTTGTAAAAAAGAGAAAGAAGGAGCAGAGTGCTTGTAAAAAAGGAGAAAGAAGGAAAATAAAAAATATAAAAAGGAAAAGGAGAGAATTGTTACTGGCTAATAATAGTAAGTGGGCTACCTAGCTCAGCCTTCCTGCTGGGCATTGCTATAAGGAAGGTAAAAAAATAGAAAAAAGGAAAAAAATGGGGGGGGGATTGAGGAAGGAGAGGAGGGGAGCTGATGCACAGATGAGAAATCATATTATGAGCAAACAGAGAAGTTGTCTGACTATCACCGAAAGAGGAGACCTTTGTTTGTTCATTACGAAAATTGAACCAGATATCAAATATTTAGCCTCGCAGCATCAGCCTCAAGGATCTCATTAATCACTAGTAAAGGTAATTTCAATTTACTTTATTGTTTTCTCATTAAACTTTATAAAGTTAAAAACATTATAAACATGCATAAAGTAGAAATAAAAAGATAAATATATGTACATTTTTTTAAACACCCTCCTTTCTAAAAAATATTCTGCACTTGTGCGAAAACTGGTGGGAGGTAAGGAAATTTTTCCATCAAGAAAGACGCATTAGTGGGCGGTAGGTAGAAAAAGGTTGACTACCCTTACTTTAACAGCATGTTTTTTATTAACATTGAAAATGGAATGATCTGAGCTAAGTCTGGTGGGACTACCGGCATATATTTACTACACATTGTTCACTGTGATTAACTTTTCCCCTTTCTGCCAACACATTATTCTGCTAAATATTAAAAATAATTGGTTTTGTTTAACATTGTCTCCATCAGTTCTAAATTAAATATATGAATACTATTTGCCAGGTAATGTCAAATTGTATTTCTTAATAATGTATATTAGAGCACTATTTTTTTGCTAATATAAATATTCACAAACAATATATAATAATGCAGCGTGTGGCAGAAAGCCAAAACAATTACTTTCCATTACTCACTCTCACAATGCATTTCTATTAATTGATCCATTAAGAATCAGGATTGTCTATTTTAAGGACTTGCAAAGCTTTCGATAAAGTGCAAACTTTTTAAAGAAGTGTTGCGATGGGTTTCTTGATGAGTAAGCATTCCAGTGGTAAATAAGTGCTAAGCTATCTGTTTATATCACCTATGAAACTTTTTAAAAAAATGTGCATTTTCTCATGTGTTTACTGGAAAGCCCCAGAGAAAATAGAGGTAATGCATAGGAGATAAGAGTAGGAAAACACTTACTTTAGCACTTTATCATCAGACATTTTACATCTCTGTTACAGAGATGTAAAAAAAGTTACAGTTTAAAACTACTTAGCAATTTAATATCTATGATTCACCTGCAATCCATACAAACTTTAATTTATTTAACTAGCATTTCCACTTTTTATTTGTTGCTTTGGATAACGTGGATCACTTTGCAACAATGATCTGTTGGTTTGTAGATATTGGCAAGTGAAACAGCATAAGAAATATAGTTAAATATGTATGCAATATAATAAAGTCTATATTGAGCTTTTACCGCAGTAAATAGTGTTTACTATTTTTCCCATGTTTCAGTAGATCATGTATAAGCCCTGTTAGCACAAGCAGGCTTGCCTCATTTAAAAGTAAATTAAATCTATTAATATATTGAGATAGAAGAATAGTTTTCAAAAAGATGAAAAAACTGTTTAGGAATATGTCACTCCCCCAGCTGTCAATCAGTTATTAAGCATTAATTATGCATAGGCATCTATGACTGACTGACAGTGTGAGCAGTAGAACCCTACTGCAAAAGGTTATCTGGCACAGCAATTATAATACATGTGATGTGATTGCTGTGGTTGCTCATCTAGTTAGCACCTCTCACTCTGTATAGGAAAAGAGTGATGTCACTTTCTTCAGATTTTGATGCAATGGCATTGAAACATGTGTGATAGCATTATGGGGGACGATTTCCAGCTTGTGGTGTTGTTTTCAAATCAGAGCACTGAAAATAAAATAATGGATGGCACTCCTCAAGCAATCAAAATGTTTGGTGCAGAAACTATCCAAAGCAAACGTACAGCCTCACCAGTGGAGACCGGGGTAACCCCCAATGGTCCTTCCAACGATCTGGGGGTGTTAAACGTTTCTCTCACCCAAAACAGAAGACCCCAATATCATATCAGAGAATTATGTGATTCTTAGGCTTGGTGCTTTTGTACCACCCTGTAGGCACCTACAGCTGGTACCCCAGCTGTTAAATTCATGTGGAAGTCGATTTTAAGGGATTCTTCTTGGAAATCTTTACAAAAATTCAATGAGCCTCTCCGATGTGTTACCATCCAGCATGTCGGTCATGTTCAACCCCCTATATTAATTAATTTATAATTTACATCAATAAATAAAAAGATTAGTCTTGCATATGCACATTATCGGGAAAGCTGTTTGATCAGATATTCTGCTGTTATGAAATCATAGAAAAAAATAAAATCAGGTATAGTCAATGCAGGCATACAGATAATTCTGAAGGTTTTACATTACATGCAGCCAATAATCTATAGATTTATTACAAAACAGAATAACAAGAAGTAAAAATTAAAGAAGAGACAGTTATTAATATGTGTATTAAATGTGAAATTACAAGACTGTACACACAGCCCTTAATTAATTCTTTACTGCAATGTTTATGATTATTAAGTTTTATATGTGTTTTTCTGTGTGTAAAGTGAATATGTTGTTATTCCAGGACCTATTTATATTCAAACATAATTTTGCAAGTCATAAAATCCCTTGTGAAAATACTTCAGTTGAATTGATTATATGAGTCCTAGCATCACATCCTCAAGTGTATTTACATCAATTGTAGTGTTTTGATTGAATGTATACTGTTTTATAATTCATAATTTGCTTTTGTCCCTAATAAAAATATAACCGCATAAACCTACATTTTATCTCACTTCAATATGCATTGAAACACATGTATACCAATAGAATATTTCAATAAAGAACAATCTCTGCTATCTCTAACTAGACAAATGACCCATATTATTATTTTAATAATAAAATGTCAACATAGTTTACCAAGCTTTTCAATAGATGACATTGATGCATTACTTGCACTGATGAAAGTGAAATGTCAAATTACCAATGTAATAAACAGACGCATATTCAGACAGTTTGTTTTGGTTTTGTCTGGATTATAATTTTAATATATACACAAATGCTGTTATTTAAACACATATGAAATATTAGGTTTAAAATAAATATATATTTTTTTAGAATTGGTAAAAAATTCCTGATTTCCTAACATAAAGTAATAATAACAAGTAACATACACTCTGAAGTATTTCCCTCTGACTTCCTTTTGCTGTTTTAAATTAAATGTAATAATATGTAGGAATAAATAAGGGATGGTATGCATATTATTTTGGATTGAATTTGGTTCACTGTTTTATTTACAAACCCAAATGTTCTGTATTTTAGAGTAGTGGTTCCTAAACATGTGTGCCATGGCGCTCTGGGGCCACATGACAAACACACAGGGATGCCGCAAGATTTTTCCCATGTTCTATGGATCGCTGCGACTCCATAGCACAGGGAAAGAATATTGTGATCTAAACCACGAACCATTAGTGCTGACTGAATGGCGCAGATGCATTGACTCGAATGAATTCACAGTGTAGATACATTATTAGCACGGTATATTTATAGCTCTATTTATTTGCACAGTTTTTCACGAATTTGTCAATTTGCGAAAAATGGTGTGAATGAATAGTGCAATACTGTGCTACGTATCCACACTGTGGATTCAGTCGGCTCAATTTGCGAAAAACTGTGTGAATGAATTGTGAAATACTGGGCTGAGTATCCACACTATGGATTCAGTCAGGTCAATTTGTGAAAAACTGTGCGAATTAATAGTGCACTACTGTGTGAATGAATACACTCTGTTGATTCATTCTTGTCAATTCATGAAAAACTGTGCAAATGCATATGAACTCACAAAGAGGTCAGGGCCAGGCGACATGATGTCTATCCATGATATACTGTGTGGGAAACACTTATTAAAAATGCAGATATTTCTATCTTTTACACTTATTACAAATAGGATAATCAAAGTAGCGTAGGGTGCTATCAGAAATATTAGAACCCCTGATTTAGCTGTTGGTGTCCTGAGGCACCTATAACAGCCCAATTAAGCAGGATAATGAATCTGAATACTTAATAACTATTCTTATCATATTCTTGTAAAAATGGACAAGTTTTTATTGAACTTTAACAAGCGCTCTGGAACTAAAAATTAAGAGGATGCACCACAAACTAGTGGCGGGTGTGTGCAAAAGTAGAAATATAATAAATATGTTAATAATTATCTGGATTTTGACTTTACATTGACAAATGTAGTGAAGCGAGACCACATTGTGTAGTGTGTTTGAAGATTCTGGCTCCAGAGTGCATGATTCCAAGTAAGCTAAAATGCCATTTAGAAACCAAGCATTCAAATTTGGTTGGTAAATCTCACAACTTCTTTACCAGAAAGTTAAAAGAATTAAAAGGACAACAGGGCACTTTTTCCCAGCAGTTGTCAATACCAAACAATGCCCTGCTAGCCTCATACAAGTTTGCATATAGAGTTACAAAATGTAAAAAGCCCCATGCCATCACAGAACAACTGATTCTACCGGCTGCTATAGATTTGGTGAGCATTATGATTGGCAAATCTGCGGGGAAACTGCTTTCAAATGTTCCTTTGTCTAACAACACTATCAGTCGTAGAATTCGGCACATGACAGAGGATCTCAATGATCAATTAATTGAAAAACTGAAAGAAAGCGAATTTGGCTTGAAGCTGGATGAGGCCACGGACAATAACAAGAACGCACATTTGATTTGCTATATACGGTTCATATATGGTAAAGCATTGTGGAGGACCTTCTGTTCTGTAAAATTATTACTGCTTGTACAAAGGCTCAAGACTTGTTTGAGATCCTTGATACATTTATGGCTGAATATAATTTAGAATGGATAAAGTGTGTTGGTGTCTGTACTGATGGTGGGCGTTCGATGTCTGTCCGTTATGGAGGTTTGAAGGCGCTTAATCGAAAGCAAAGCTCCGGATGCACTGTGGATCCATTGCATAATTCATAGAGAAGCACTAGCATCAAAGCATTTGAGTCCTCCACTGAATCTGTTTTTAGAATGTGTGGTGAATGTGGTAAATGTTATAAAAACCTGGCCAGTGAAAGCAAGGTTTTTTAAAAGATTGTGTGAGGATATGGGATCCAAATACACATCTTTGTTGTACTACTGCGACTCACAATGACTCTCTTGTGACAATGTATTGTTCTGTACATTTGAATTACAGCAAGAAATCAAAATTTTTCTCGAAGAAGAAAAACACGAGTATGACAAACAGTTTGGGAAATAGATTTTTTGGTAAAACTAGCATACTTTTGTGATATTTTAAAAAAATTAAATGCATTCAATTTCTCCCTGCAGGGATGCAGCATGCACATTTTTAAATTATCCAAGAAGATTTCAGCTTTCAAAAAAAGTTACAACTAAGGAGAAAAAAAAAATGAATGAAGACGGTGGCAAAGATCGCTTCCCCTTGTTGCAGCACTTCATGGTCTCCAAAGAAGTGGATTTCTCTCATAATCTAAAATCTGGTTTTGAAGATCATCTATCACAGATTATTCAGTGGTTTGAAGAATACTTTCAAGAAGATGATATCAACAAATTTGCATGGATTCAAGACCCATTCAGAGTCAAAGCTCCATCTGAATTTACTTCTACAGAAGAAGAAAGTCTTGAGCTGTATTGCTACAATACGCTCAAGGTTAAATTTGGCAGCATGGAGCTTACTGACTTTGGGTTTTCTGTAAAAGATGAATATCCGCTGCTAATTGGTAAAGCGCAGCGAATTTTAATTCCTTTTGCAACATCATATTTATGCGAAGCTGGGTTTTTGGCGGTTGCTGTGATAAAAAGCAAATACTGTGCAAAAATCAATGTGGAACCGGAAGTGAGAGTGGCTGTATCCACTTTGATTCCGAGATTTGAAATGTGTAAGTAAGTTTGTGCTTGTACACATCTACTTATTGCTACGTCTGGACATGTCTCCTACAGGTTCTTGTTTCTCATTAGTGATGAGCCTATTTTTCATCTTTATTATTTTCCTTTAACTACACCACACCATTCTCAAGATCTATGTCATGCATGTGTTATGTTTAAACTTTGTTTTTCTTTGATTTGCTTCCACACGTGTATTATTATGTCATCACCTTTATCTTGAGCGTTGTCAACATATGAAAATATAAAGCAAAAAGAAGGACCACAAGAGTCCTGAGTAGGAGAGTAATATGAAAAAGGGAAAAGGGAGTCCCTACCTTTTAATGATTCTAAAGATACACACAGCAGGACAGGTAGGAAGAGATATAGCGAAAAAAGAACCTTCCAGAATAGACACAGGAAACCAGTTGCTAAAAAACTGCCTGCTAAATGTCTAAAATCCAAATGGCACGCCCTCTAAGTCTTCCCAAAAACAGGGGCCCTAATAGGAAAAAGGGGTAACTGAAAGAATAGGGGAAGGGAGCAATAAAAAGGAGATGCCCCAAGGAATAAATCTTAGGCAGAAAGCCCCTATGGTAGTCCACTTTCCCTAGTTACCTCGGCACTGTGATAAATCACCAGTGCCTACCAAAAGACCCTGTCCCTGCCTGTCAAGTATAAATAATAACTGATAAAGTAAATTAAATTAAATCAATCCATCAGTGCTACCAAAAAAGTGCAAAACAAAGAAAAGAAAATAAAAAGAAGCTCGACGCGCGTTTCAGCGTTTCAACACGCCGTCGTCAGGAGCAGTAACCTTTTGAAGTTCCCTGTAGCGATTTAAATACACCTTGTTACAATCTGTATGGGATAGAAAACAGCTGTTATACCCCACGTGTTCTGCCGTGGATGCTGTAAGCTTATAGGTCAATTGCCTCTTTAGTCCACCTCTTATCCACCGCGTCATATGACGCGGTGCTACAATGAATAAGGGGGCGTGATAATGAGACTTAAACGATGCCCACGTGGGGAAGATATAAAGTTGATTCATCCACAGAACTTTAAGTTCATTGCAATGAAGTTAGAATTAAAATTAAAATTAAAACTAAAACGTTATTAGGGTATAAAACTAAAGAGGGGGGTTAAATTGAAATGACAATTTATAGTTTATAAAGACCCAGTGTGCATGCGCAGATACTGGTTACCGATTGGTCCAATGTATATCCCTCCTGTCCGTCTATTAATTGGATCTGCCGCTTGTCAGTCACGTTATGTGACGTGAAATTGAACTAAATCGAGGGACATAATATTTAAATGGTACCCCCATAAAGTCCAGATCGGGTTGATTATTCCGTAAGGATTGTAAAGTTAGTGGCGGTATAAAGGTTCGGACTCTCATTAAGATCGCTAAATATTGAATAGTATTAATCACTAGTGGGTGGTGGTGAACTCTGTCTGCATAAAGCTACCCATCCGCCAGATACAATCCTGGCATGGGTGGGTGGGCATAATACAAGAGATAAGACTGTGAGTGATGCCCCCATGGGGTCAACATGAAAACATGCATGAGATCCCCATAAACAGGGACCCAATGTAAGCCACTAAGTGACAAAAGCGATCTGGACATAGTTAAATACCCTGATAATAACTAATACTATGTCCAGATCGCTTTTGTCACTTAGTGGCTTACATTGGGTCCCTGTTTATGGGGATCTCATGCATGTTTTCATGTTGACCCCATGGGGGCATCACTCACAGTCTTATCTCTTGTATTATGCCCACCCACCCATGCCAGGATTGTATCTGGCGGATGGGTAGCTTTATGCAGACAGAGTTCACCACCACCCACTAGTGATTAATACTATTCAATATTTAGCGATCTTAATGAGAGTCCGAACCTTTATACCGCCACTAACTTTACAATCCTTACGGAATAATCAACCCGATCTGGACTTTATGGGGGTACCATTTAAACATTATGTCCCTCGATTTAGTTCAATTTCACGTCACATAACGTGACTGACAAGCGGCAGATCCAATTAATAGACGGACAGGAGGGATATACATTGGACCAATCGGTAACCAGTATCTGCGCATGCACACTGGGTCTTTATAAACTATAAATTGTCATTTCAATTTAACCCCCCTCTTTAGTTTTATACCCTAATAACGTTTTAGTTTTAATTTTAATTTTAATTCTAACTTCATTGCAATGAACTTAAAGTTCTGTGGATGAATCAACTTTATATCTTCCCCACGTGGGCATCGTTTAAGTCTCATTATCACGCCCCCTTATTCATTGTAGCACCGCGTCATATGACGCGGTGGATAAGAGGTGGACTAAAGAGGCAATTGACCTATAAGCTTACAGCATCCACGGCAGAACACGTGGGGTATAACAGCTGTTTTCTATCCCATACAGATTGTAACAAGGTGTATTTAAATCGCTACAGGGAACTTCAAAAGGTTACTGCTCCTGACGACGGCGTGTTGAAACGCTGAAACGCGCGTCGAGCTTCTTTTTATTTTATTTTCTTTGTTTTGCACTTTTTTGGTAGCACTGATGGATTGATTTAATTTAATTTACTTTATCAGTTATTATTTATACTTGACAGGCAGGGACAGGGTCTTTTGGTAGGCACTGGTGATTTATCACAGTGCCGAGGTAACTAGGGAAAGTGGACTACCATAGGGGCTTTCTGCCTAAGATTTATTCCTTGGGGCATCTCCTTTTTATTGCTCCCTTCCCCTATTCTTTCAGTTACCCCTTTTTCCTATTAGGGCCCCTGTTTTTGGGAAGACTTAGAGGGCGTGCCATTTGGATTTTAGACATTTAGCAGGCAGTTTTTTAGCAACTGGTTTCCTGTGTCTATTCTGGAAGGCTCTTTTTTCGCTATATCTCTTCCTACCTGTCCTGCTGTGTGTATCTTTAGAATCATTAAAAGGTAGGGACTCCCTTTTCCCTTTTTCATATTACTCTCCTACTCAGGACTCTTGTGGTCCTTCTTTTTGCTTTAAGTTTTCTCATTGAGGGTTATTCCCCATTTTGGGAGAGTAATTTCAGGACTACTTAGCACTTATTCATCGGTCGGAGCTACGACCCCTGAATCAGAGCTACCCCCCTTTTCAACATATGAAAATATACTAAACGCTACTAAAGCATTATTATCTTTGTTCATATATCTGAATCTACCTTAGTTACTAGACCTTATTATTTTATTTTCTTCATTTCATTTAAAATGAGGTTTGTTTTATCTATCTATGACCTATTGTTTCAAATTAATTGGTTTCAGGTCTACTCTACAAAAGTGTGTTTTGTTTAATTTTTTTCATCATATTTTATAATTTGTTTATAGTAAATTATATGTTATGATGAAAAAAACATAATATAATAAGTGTGGGTACTGTAAATGAGTAAGAGGAAAATTACAGCTAAACACAAACACCGCAGAAATGTAAACACAGCCCTGGTCCTTAACAGTAAGAAAATTGAAAAACGAACTGGTCACTAAGGGGTTAATATAACAAAAGAAATACAGTACAATACAATTCTGCATGTGCATTACAAAGACAATTTGATACAAAGTTTACTATAGGAGTTTATGCCATCTGGACCTGACCGTATCAAACTTCTGAAATGTGCTTGCTGATTTTAATTTTCTTATATAGTTAATTGGTAGCCAGCCTCTCCAATACCACTGCTTTAAATTGAGCATTTTGAAGTTTCAATGCCTCAGCTATGCTACTTCTAGCTGCTACCAGAACATGCATAGTTATAGCTCCTTCTGGTAATTTTAATATAATCTGGTAACATGTCAAGAATATATATTTCAGGCTTTAGTGGTATAGTATCCTCAGAGAGTACAATTGTTATGTTTTGGATTTGAGATCAGTAGGAACCCAGCTTCAAACAACACCAAAATATGTGACTTAAAGTCCCAGTCTCTTTATTGCATCACCAGCAGATGAGTGACACATTTTGGTAAATATGCGTTAGTCGTTGAGGTATTATATACTACCTCATTAGTAGTTTTCTATGAGCTTTAAAATGGTTTAAAAGTGAATTGTTCCTTCATCTAGAGTCCGCTTTCGTAATCATAATCAGTTCCTTCTCCCATTAAGACATGTACTTCAATTTTGGAGGTCTAGCAAGGTCCACCAATAATGCCTAACAGCGTCATAGATTTATAGTGACACTTGTTCCAAATACATAAATCACCAAATGCATTAAGATCTAGAATATTAAGTTTATGAATGGACTGCCTATGGAGAATTGTTTCAATTTGCTGGTAAGTGAAAAGTTACCCACTAGGAAGGTTGTATTCAGACTGTAAGTCTAGAAATAATTTTATTCCTCCTGTTCCCATGATCAGTAATATTATTGTCACCCTGCCTTGCTCCAAAGTTTCAGGGATAGGTCACATGTGTAATATTTTAGGCTTTCCAATGGTGCAACTGGCGATCTTGGGACATGGCTTAAAAACCTATGAGCCCATGCCCTTGTCAAATTGGTGAGACTAATGTAATTGCCAAAAGTGTGAGATTCAGAGGCCATAGGTGTCTTGGCATCCACATCAATGTGAATAAAGAGTAAGGGCATAGGAGTGAATTCTCCCGTTTAAGACAAAGATCTTGCGAGGAATGCAAGTTGAGTATTTGTGCTATAATCAATGCTATATAATATTTTTGTACATCCAACACCCCTAATTCTCCCACCCCAATAGGGAGCCAGAGAGATGTATGTACTATCCTTGGAACTTGTGCTACCAGAAGTGCGCATTCATGATTCTTTGAAAATGGACCAAATGAAACTTCTTATCAAATATGGTA